TCTAAGAATTGCAAAAATTCTGAAAATGCAAAATTCCGGAAAATTGTAAAAATTTCAAGAAATTCCTGAAAATTGCAAAATTCGCGAAAAAGACAAAATCTGCAAAATATGCAAAAATTCCTAAGAATTGCAAAAATTTCTGAAAATTGCGAAAATTCCGGAAAATTGTAAAAAATTTCAAGAAATCCCTGAAAATTGCAAAAACTGCAAAAATTCCTGAAAATTGAAAAATTTCCAGAAAATTGCAAAAATTCCTGAAGATTGCGGGAAACTATGAAAATTGCAAAAATGCTTGAAAATTGCCAAAAGTAGCAGAATTTGCAAAGTTCCTGAAAATATCAAAAATCGCAAAAATTCCTGAAAATTGCAAAAATCGCAAAAATTCCTCAAAATTGTGAACATATCTAAGGTTGGGTTACTAGATCTGGTAACATATCCTAGGTTAGGTTACTAGATCTAGTAACATATCTTAGGTTAGGTTACTAGATCTGGTAACACATTTATCCTAGGTTAGGTTACTAGATCTAGTAACATATCTTAGGTTAGGTTACTAGATCAAGTAACATATCTTAGGTTGCGTTACTAGACTCTGGTAACATATCCTAGGTCTAGGTTACTAGATCTAGTAACATATCTTAGGTTAGGTTACTAGATCTGGTAACATATCTTAGGTTGGGTTACCAGATCTGGTAACATCTTAATCAATTTTTTTAATTGGAATGCCCAGTATATTTGCATATTTTCTGAAGCATTTCTGCTCCAAAAATTCCTGAAAATAGTAAAAATTCCGGAAAATAGTGAAAATTTCAAAAAATTACTAAAAATTGCAAAAATCGCAAAATTGACAAAAATTGCAAATATTCCTAAGAATTGCAAAAATTTCTGAAAATTGCGAAAATTCCAGGAAAATTGTAAAAATTTCAAGAATTCCTGAAAATTGCAAAACCGCAAAAATGCCTGAAAATTGCAAAAACGGCAAAAATTCCTGAAAATTGGAAAATTTCCAGAAAATGCGAAAATTCCTGAAGATTGCGGAAATCTATGAAAATTGCAAAAATGCTTGAAAATTGCAAAAATAGCAGAATTTGCAAAATTCCTGAAAATATCAAAAATCGCAAAAATTAAATTCCCTAAAAAATTGCAACAATCGCAAAATTCCTCAAAATTGTAAACATATCTAAGGTTGGGTTACTAGATCTGGTAACATATCCTAGGTTAGGTTACTAGATCTGGTAACATATCCTAGGTTAGGTTACTAGATCTAGTAACAAATCTTAGGTTAGGTTACTAGATCTGGTAACATATCCTAGGTTAGGTTACTAGATCTAGTAACATATCTTAGGTTAGGTTACTAGATCAAGTAACATATCTTAGGTTGCGTTACTAGATCTGGTAACATATCCTAGGTTAGGTTACTAGATCTAGTAACATATCTTAGGTTAGGTTACTAGATCTGGTAACATATCTTAGGTTGGGTTACCAGATCTGGGTAACATCTTAATCAATTTTTTTAATTGGAATGCCCAGTATATTTGCATATTTTCTGAAGCATTTCTGCTCCAAAAATTCCTGAAAATAGTAAAAATTCCGGAAATAGTGAAAATTTCAAAAAATTACTAAAAATTGCAAAAATCGCAAAATTGACAAAAATTGCAAATATTCCTAAGAATTGCAAAAATTTCTGAAAATTGCGAAAATTCCAGAAAATTGTAAAAATTTCAAGAAATTCCTAAAAATTGCAAAACCGCAAAAATGCCTGAAAATTGCAAAAACGGCAAAAATTCCTGAAAATTGGAAAATTTCCAGAAAATTGCGAAAATTCCTGAAGATTGCGGAAATCTATGAAAATTGCAAAAATGCTTGAAAATTGCAAAAATAGCAGAATTTGCAAAATTCCTGAAAATATCAAAAATCGCAAAAATTAAATTCCTAAAAATTGCAACAATCGCAAAAATTCCTCAAAATTGTAAACATATCTAAGGTTGGGTTACTAGATCTGGTAACATATCCTAGGTTAGGTTACTAGATCTAGTAACATATCTTAGGTTAGGTTACTAGATCTGGTAACATATCCTAGGTTAGGTTACTAGATCTAGTAACATATCTTAGGTTTAGGTTACTAGATCTGGTAACATATCTTAGGTTGGGTTACTAGATCTGGTAACATATCCTAGGTTAGGTTACTAGATCTAGTAACATATCTTAGGTTAGGTAACTAGATCTGGTAACATATCCTAGGTTAGGTTACTAGATCTAGTAACATATCTTAGGTTAGGTTACTAGATCTGGTAACATATCTTAGGTTGGGTTACTAGATCTA